CGTTTTGATTAAGATTGGAGCTCCTGGGACCTGCATTGCAAAGACAGGTAAGCAGATGACAATTAAGATGCTCTTTGGAAAAGAGGTGAACTAGCTAAATGCTTACAGAGTAACTTACCAAAGATTGCGGCAACCATCTGAGAAACATGGCGTTTTAAGCCGGATAGCTCGGCGGTTGTTTCAGCAAGACTGGCCTCCGCTTGTTCGGCCCGGCTTAGCAAAGCCGTCTTTTCATCTGCCCAGGCTTTTCTCTCCGCTTCAAACTTCTTCTTCAGTTTCTCTTGGGCAGATACACTGAATTCCAATTTGGAGTTGGCCTTTTGGGTTTCATTTTCTTGAGTCTTCAGGCGGTTCTTTAAATCAGAAATCTCCGATTCAAATTTCTTGGAGGCGGCCTATATAAATTCCAGGTTACAGTTAGAGTGATTATAATGCAACATTAAGTCCCAAGCACTTTGCAAGCAAAGATACTTGACACTTGGGGGCTAATGTATGCTGAAAAGCTCTATTTACAGTGGCGGTTCATGAAATTAAGTCCCAAGCACTTTGCAAGCAAAGGTACTCGACACTTGGGGGCTAATGCATATTGCTGTTCAACTACTTGATTAAAACAAGGTAAGGACCGGTTCATATATGTTGATTAAGCCGGACATTGAGTGCTACCAGGTAAGCCGGTTTTCTTGCAGTGGTTACTAAGCCGGTATCAAGTCTACAACATATTTTATCATAAGTAATAGACTTGGGGGCTGGCATGGTAAGAATAACTGGGGAGTAAGCAAGAGAGTTATACCTCAGATTTTTGCTGGATTTGTTTCACCATATCAATCTGCAGGTCCCGGCTGTTGTGCACTTGATTCACATAGTCAGAGACAATCTCTTCAATGCTCAAATGAGCATAATCGGTGATATCCAGCTTGGCCCGGCGGCGCTCCAGAAGTTCTTCCTTGGCAGAACACTTGGCCAGCACAGTAGGTCGTCCCGGCTCCACAAACTCAGTCCGGGTGATCTCAACGTCCGGATCGTCTGGATGAGCCGGGCTAGGGATCTCCGGGTTCTCAGAACCTCCCATGGCTTGTTCAACAGTTGGAGCAATGGTGGTATCAGGAGATGGTACAGCTGGCGGCTCATCAGCAGAGGCGTCAGGAGCAGCCGCTCTGAGTTCCGGTTCAGCCAGGACCGGCTCTTCGGCCGGCTTATTTTTCTTCGCCCTCTTGCTGGGCTTTACTTGTACACTGCAAAGTCAAAGGGTTAGTGCAAAAACATGAGTATGGCAAGCACAAAGTAAACTGATCATCATTACCCGGGAGCGGTTTTGAAAGCCGGCAAGCTGGACTGCATTGAGTCGCCGGAGGAAGGTGAAGTTCCCTGGTAGTTTGAGTCAGAAGAATTGAGTGGCTGACGAGTGACGCCCGCCAAAGGATACAAAGAATATAAGTCAGATATCACCTCAGTTTGGCGCTTCCTTGATGCTTCAGGTAAGCCGGAGGAGAGGTCTGCATCTCTGCTGGTCCGGGGCTGCCTCCGACTCTCATAAATCTGTCGCTTCAAAAGAAATTGAGGATCTTGATAAGCTAAAGGATGTGAAAATCTTACTTTCCGGGTTACTCTTTGGACTTTCTGTCTTGGCAAAGGCTCGGAGTCGGAGGAAATTATAGTTACCTCTTCATTTACTTCATGACTCGCTCCGGTGTCCTCCTGCTGATAATCCGTGTCAATAAGATGGTTAAAAAAGGAGCCTAAAGAATCAAGAGCTACCTCTGACTCGGAGGTGTCTTCCAGATGAAGCAGTTCCGAGGCGCTAGGTTTATGCCCCTTCTTACGGGGAGCGGCTTTCCTGGCGGCTTTCTTGACTTTTGTGGCTTTCTTGGCGGCTTCGTGGTCATACTTGAACTTCCAGAATTTATCATTAGCCTGCACAGTACAACAAAGGTTATTGAGTTAAGACAAAATCGTTAAAATGGAAGATGAAGTATTCAGGTCAATGGTTTACCGCTGGAGCCGGGTTAGCCTTGCAGAAAGGGCTTAAGCCCACTCTCCCGCAGTCTGCCAGGCTCTCGTTCAGCAGAGACTTGGTTGTATCATCAATGACGTCCTCAGGTAAGTCGTCTGGACTGTGCCGAAGAGGATCATCCTTCTGGCCCGTGTAATCACACATCAAGCCGGGGCAGCGGCTTAAAGGAATCACCCGCCTTGCAATCCAAACCCGGACCAGATCTATGCCATTTAGGCCGTTCCCCAGAAGAGCTTTGATCTTGTTGATGGTGGGAGTAAGTGGTTGACGTTCGGCTTGAGATAATTTTTCTGGTAAGGGGTGATTTGACTCCAGACGCAGGGCGGGAAAACCGGGCAGAGGGTTCTCATCCGCCGGAGAAGTGTCTTGGCAATAGAACCATGTCTGGTTCCAGTCTTTGGGGTGGCTTGGCGGCTCAGCATAAGGGAAGAGACAATCTCTCCGTCGTCGGATTGAGATTCCGCCGAGTTCCAAGCTGGGCCCGTTGGCACATTCATTCTGGCGGTTCAAATAAAATAACTCCCGGAAGAGTAGCAGGCTGGGTTCTTCTCCGAGGTACACCTCACAGAATACTTGGAAGTTGCAGATGTTTGACACGGAATTGGGTCCGATGTCTTGAGGTCGCAGATAAAAAAAGTGCAGGATATCTCTGAAAAATTTGGAGCCGGGTGGAGCAAAACCCCGCTTCATGTGATCAGTGAAAATAACAACTTCCCCCTCTTTGGGATGAGGTTTCTCTTCTGACGGGTCAGGAACGTGATAAGACATGATCTCCTTCTTTGGCAGATAAACCGTCTTTACGAAATCAACTAAGATGCTGCCAGTGACGTTGGATTTAACCCAGTTGCATGTGACGGGTGCTTTGGGAGCCTTAGGCGGCATTGTGAAAGATGGAAGCCTATGACAAAATAAAGTTTCCGGTTCAAATTTAAGTCGGAGGAAAATTTCAGTTCAGTAATCAAGATGGCGGCTTATGAAGGGGCCTAATGATATATGGCTAATTGTGTTAGGTTATTTAAGCCGCCGTGGATATCATGAACAATTAAGTTATCTAAAATTCTATTGTGAATGATCCGGAAATTTCACAAAGCATGGTGTCTTTTAAGCCGGTGATATGAGTCGCTAGAACTAACAGACGCAGTTTTTTGTTTAAGTGTTGCACAAACAAGTTTCACAGATCACAGTTATTATTTTGGATCAAACGGTTGTCCAGAAAAGAAAAATTTCTAGACCTAAAAACTGGTACAGAGAAGTTCATAAGTTCTAAATGAGATCTTTTTGCAAGCAAGGGGATCTGCTAGTATTGAAAATGGGAGTGAAACTACTACCGCAGGAGTTCTGTGCTGTTTTCGGATCAAAAGGAGCTTCGGTGGAGGAACTATGAAGAAACCGAGATGAAACTACCAAGAACAGGGAGGAAACACGAACCCTAATGCGGATCTAATATGTAGAGCGACGAGGACTTACTGGTGCTGATGAGCAGCGGAGGTGCGCCGCAGATTTCTGGCCAAGTCAGGTCGATGCAGCGGCCTTGGTCGATGAAGACGAGGTGCGCGGCGGCGGCGGAGGTCGGGCTCTGGGGCGTCAGAGGAGGAAGATGATGGAGGAGAAGAGTGACGAAGGCTTATGGGCCGGGCCTATTTATAAGGGGCGGCTGATAAATGGGCGCGAGAAACGAGGAGGCTGAAGACATGATTATCCAGCCGCAGAGACGCCTCGATTTCCGGGATAGTTATTAAAGATAAGGATCCGTTGAGATACGTTGGACAAAACGTGCATTAATGGCGGATGACGTCATGGCGGTTTACCAAGAATCCAGAAGATGACGTCACGGCGGGTTATAGCCTTTGCACAAACAGACGCCGGAAGAATTTTCCTTAAGGTATTGAAGATTGACATGAACCGGTTCAAATCAATTTGGGGCCTAATGTTGGGGATATAACTACTGGAGTCACCCGCCCAGGAGGGGCCGGGTTACGTCGTAACAATCATCGCGTGAAGCCCAATATCAAGCTTAAGGATGGCGGTTCAAATATGGGCTTAAGGCCCAGAGGCGTAAGGCCCGTAGTGATAAACCGCCGTTATGGTATGACTTGTAGTGTAAGGCAAGTATACTTAAGAGTCTGAGCCGGACACTGTTATAAGTCGGCCGGAACTCTGAGAGCCGCTGGGCGTTAACCTCTCTATATAAAGGGATGGCCCAACGGCGGTTTAGACAAGGAAGATCAGATCGATAACCGGGCATAGCAGTTTAGCTCCCTGGCCATTGAAACCCTAAGTAATTCCACCTCAACTGGAGTAGGCTTTTACCTTCACCGTAAGGGGCCGAACCAGTATAACCCTCATATCCCTTGTCCCGTTTAAACCCCTTTAAGCTTCCTAGTTGCGATGGCTCCACGACTAAGTCCTTGCACTAGGACATCTGACGTGACAATTCCACGACAGGTCCACTAACAGAAATGGGAGAGTAATGCAACAGAAGTTCTATGCAAGGAGATTAATATAAATTAATAGAATTATAAAAATCAAGGCAGCAGACCTCTTTAGAGAAGGCTAATATTTATTTCTTTAACCGAGGTACTAAAACCACACAAAAACTTATAAATACTAATTCTGAAGAGTGAACAATATCATATCAGTCTCCCTAGAATTAGTACATACTACACAATGCGTCGAACAGTATATGGCAAACAAAGGCATGTGCATAATCTAGAAGACAACCATGCTAGCATATTCATGAGGCAGGGAAGACAACATATGAAATCTGAACTTGCATCATTGTACTGTTTAGGCCGTCCTTTCCCTTTTATACCACGTCTTTTGTTCAACATGTTCCTCTGCATTTTCACTTGAACAACTTTCTGTTGAACCAAAAGACAATACTACCAATCCAATTACCAAGATGACAATAAGAAAAGATTTGTTAGCGACCTGTGAGAGTTTAGCCAACATATTCCGTAGCTGATGGTCCATCTTTGCAAGTAAAAATTCAGAATAGAGATGTGTCTTTGTCAGCGGCTCGTCTAACCTACAGAATCGTGCATCATTCTATCACTCCCTTGCTTATAGGCGCACTACTCACTAGACCACTCAACAATCACACAATTAAACTGCCCATGTAAGATTACACAATTTAATTAGCAAGATGAGTGTCCCCAACTCAAAGTACATATATTGGTTCAGAAGGGAAGTGAATCAAGTAGATATTGAGGTTAATGTACATATGTATTCCTACCTGAGCCTCTTGTAGGATTTGGGGAAGCTTTTTGGTGAGCCTCCTGCAATGACGGCGGCTGGGTGGAGAGGATCTGGAGGATCTTGGCTGCCATGGGGCAGCTGTTGTACTCCTGGATGAGGCGTCGTACGGCAGGAGGCCCGGGCGGATCCGGGCGGATATGGCCGGGATGGATCCATTTCCGGCGGATTTGGCGTGGTGGCGGCCGGATCCGGCGAGATTGAGGGCCGGCAGCGCCATGGCCCTCCTGGAGGTCCCTGTTTAGCGAGAAAGAGGGAGAGATGTGAGAGGAGATCGAGAGGAAGGAGGAGAAGGCAGAGGGGTGATGCGGCGGATCGGCCGGAGGTCCAGCGGGGAAGGTCGCCGGCGGCAGGGCGTGGCGGAGGTGCGGGGTCGCCGGCGAGGCGTCTTGCGGCCACGAGGGGAGCGAGGGCAAGAGGGAGCTGCGGGCGGCGGCGCGGACCGTTCCGAGTCTGGGCGGAATTAGAGGGTTTTTTATGTAAAATTGAAACGTTTTTTCAGAATACACTTAAAAGAGGACTGCGGGTTGTATTACTGAAAAACACAGGGGGTTTTAGCAAAAGATCCACGACGGTGAGCAAGCGGGCAGAAGCGATAATCGCTTTATTATTAGGGAAAGAAATGCTTCTTACATTGAATCTGCACATGGTAATACTCAAGTGAAATAGTTGGTTTTTTCTAATGATTTAATAGAAAAACTATTTAACTTCAAGATCGTTCAATGTAATTTACCAAATTTAATATTAATAGATTTTGATATAAATTTGCAAGTTTCCATGTGACAAAAATAAATTGGAGTAAGTGGTGAATGTTTCTTTCTTTCATAAAAGTAATTTTAGAAATGGGAGGCAACCGATGATATTTTTGGACTGTGGGATAATTCTTTCAATGATTTTTGGTTGAACTTAGATCCGTTGCAAGGGCTCTAGGAATGATTTGCTCTCTGTTACATACGTTCAATAATGATATTTAGAGGAGGATCAATTTTACAAGTAGGTGCACTACATTTGTATACAAACAATCTGAATGTGGGAGTTTTAACTTTTTATTATATTGCAAAAGTGGATCATGATGTTTTTTTCCTGAATCATGAACGCTGGGCTAGAGCCCCACCTTGTTTGAGTGTTTTGTAATCTGATAATTAGATAAATGACCACCATCTCCATCACCAACCATCTCAGTGTTATCTCCGGTTGTCGAATTAATGTATGGAAAAAAGGACCAATCAATTATTCCTTTCACTCGTTGCAACACACGGGCTAGGTTCGTGCCTTGGTGCTCCTCACCGTCGCAATTTCCCAACCATCCTCTTCGTATCACCATGTTCTCATTTTTTCTGAAGGAACTCTTCAATCAGTGGTCATTCTCAGAAGATTTGGGAGAGATTGAAACCATGAGACTGTATGGTGGCTGAAGAAGGCGGACATCCTTGATTTCCTGTTGCCTTCTGGTTTAGAGGTAAATTAAAAGCACTCATCCCGTAAGGACGGATTAGATGTGCAATATTATTGTTTGTTCAATTTGTGTTCTATTTAGTGGATTCTGAAAATAAACCAGTACGGTGGCATCTACCAAATAGAACCATGGCATGTCTTTCTCATGGAAGTTGTGTGTGAGGAATAATGTAGCAATGAGGATTGCTATGTCAATTCTGTTGTAGCAAAGTATTGATCTGATACTCATATGTATATTATCTTAACCTTACAAAGTAACCAGTGAGTTGAAGATCACAAAGTTATGTTTAACTATCTAGAAGTTACTCCTTAATTGGTTTACTGAAGTGATTATCTAGAGCTTGTGAGGAAAAGGAGAAAAGCCAAGAAGCCTGGGAAAATTGCAGTGACCTGATGTGTGACATGCTTGCATCTTTTTCCAAGAGATCATTAATGTATCACAACGATTGACAACTACACATGTTAGAAAAAAATTCTGCAGCCAATACAACTGAGCATGTTATTCTGAATAGTGATGGTCAAACTCTTGCTTATACGTGTATCTTGTGGCGACTATCCATGTATGGATTTCGCTTGGAGGCATACTAGCATAGTATAGAGGCGAGGGGTAATTTTAATCTAAGCATATTTTTTTACCTAATGTCTTGATCTTGCAACAAATAACAGGAAGATATAATCTTGTGAGTATGAGTTCATAACTGTAGGTATTGCATCAAGAAGATCACTCGAGTCCATTGGTATAAAAATGTTTAAAGAAGCATCTTTGCACAACAAGGGAAGATTAATGGTGGAAAAATGATACATAAGAATAAGGAGAACAAACTTTCTGCATTTTGAGACAACATGGATAGATGCTCATCATGTTTATGGATTCTCCGCAGTTGAGAAATGTTATGTTTTCATCGGGTTGATTTATCATAATTGACATGCATATACTAGCAACTGTTTCACCTAAGTTTGTAGACTGTTTCGTTGATCTGAACAATTCCCTCTCTACCTGCTAATGACTATGTTCTTCCTTTCATGTACTTATGCCATGCAACTTCATTGGCGAGAAGGGTTGGCAAACCATCTCAATGAGCTTCGGAGCAACACATCGTCAGCGGCAGGAGCTTTGCCGTACTGGAGAACCAAGAACAGAGAGGGCAGAGAGGAGAAAAGAGGCTGAAGATGCAGACGGTAAATTATATATTTAGTATAGGATATATTTTCTATTTGAGAATGGGTTTCATTTAAAATATGTTGTGTACTTTGAATATTGTTTTTCTGCTTGCAAGGTTTTGTTTCAGTGACAAATTATTGTTTAGGTTTCTAATCTTTTTTTTTGTACCCGTTGCAATGCACGGACCTTTTTTATTACAAATTAAACTAAAGTGCATTTAACAGAGTGATGAATAATTGACACTCATCTACAAGCCTAATTACACAAGAATGTACATATGTTTTTGCCGAGATCAAACAGGGAGATATCATTTATAACTACAAGAATATACATATGATTTTTTTGTCACACGTTGCAACGCACGGGCATGTTTGCTAGTAGGTTATAAAAAGGGGAACTACCTAACAAAAAATTACTCTACCTTCCTCTTCATAGGTCCTTCTTCTTCGTCCGTCCTTGCCATGGCCAGTGTGCAGAGCTGTAGGTCGACAACTACTCGTAACAAGGGAGCGGCAACCAAGGCTGTGGAAAAAAGAGAGGGCTCGCCGCCATGCAGAAACCTTGAAAGATCTCTCACGGCAGGCGATGGCTCCCAGGAGCACCCTAGCCGCGGAGGCAAACATGCCGATCTGGCGGCGCTGGAGTCATTATCCCTTGACGGCATGCCCGATCAGCTCAATAAGCACCTCAATAGGTAGAAGGAGTTCATCCACGGCTTGGTGGAGCTGCTGAAGGAGAGCCTAGATGACATGCCCGCTGAGCTCAATGAGCAGGGGAGTTGACCGCCGGCTTGGTGATGCTGCTGAAGAAGAGCATTGCCTCGGAGAATAAGGCGACCGACGAAATCCTGCAACTTCAGGAGGATAAGGCGAAGTCTGCCACGAGCTCGACCTGCCGAAGGAGGAGAACGCCGGCTGGAAGAAGCTGCATGAGAATAGTAGTTCATCGATGAAGATGCTGCAGGCCCTCATCATGGAACAGAAGGAGGAGTTGGCGAAGCTCCGCATCTAGCACCCGGCTACTGTCAAGGTACATAATGCAGCCGTGGAATAGATGATGAAGGCTCGCGTCGAGAAATCATGCGTCATGGACAGAATGAAGGAGATGGCGGAGGAGACGCGCAAGGAGATGGAGGTCGTGGAGTGAAAGTGTGTTATATCGACTAGAGGGGGGGTGAATAGGCGATTTTGATGAATTCATCACTGAGGAATTTCAGGGTGAGGAAATTCCTAAATGAAGAACTACTTGCAGCTGAATGAGTACTCAAAAGTAAACATAACAGAACACAAGCATAGTCATCATGTGGAAATGAAGACAAGCACGGAGTACAGAAAGCATAAACACATGATAACACAGGATGAAGACAAACAGACCGAAGAAATTGAACTGAGGAAATTGAGAAAGTCTTCAGTTAAAGTCTTCAAACACAGATATGAACAAGCACACAACACAGAAATGAGGAAATGAAAGAGTTGAGGAAATAGAACCAGTAGGCTTGGTGAAGACAATGATTTGGTAGACCAGTTCCAACTGCTGTGATGTAACACCCCGGATGTAACTTTCCATATTTGTAACTCCAACTCTTGCCATTTTCGGCTATGTGTTATGATATTCCCTCTGTGGTTGGGTTTTGTTTTTTGTTTTGCATTTTGTTCATGTCATGCATCTCATATCATGTCATCATGTGCATCTCATTTGCATACGTGTTCGCCTCTTGCATCCGAGCATTTTCCCCGTTGTCCGTTTTGCAATCCGCCACTCCCACATGCACCGGCGCACCCCTTTTGTTTCTTTTCGTGAGCGGGTGTTAAACGTTCTCGGAATGGACCGAGGTTTGTCAAGTGGCCTTGGTATACCACCGGTAGACCACCTGTCAAGTTTCGTTCCATTTGGAGGTCGTTTGGTGCTCCAACGGTTAACCGGGTAACCACAAAAGTCCTTTTGTGTGTTGCAGAAAAACCCCCTCCAAACAGTCCAATAACCCCTCTAAGTCCCTTCCATGCTCTTGGTCATTCGATCACGATCGTGTGGGCGGAAACCGCAATCCATTTGGAGTCTCCTAGCTCCCTATGCCTATATAAACACCCTCCCCGTCCAAAATTTCGGATCAAACCCTAGTCCCCCCTTCCCTTGCGCCGCCGGACACGTCCGGCCGGCGCCGAACGAAAGCCGCCGCCGCCCGCAGCCAACCGGCGCGCGACACGTGGCGCCCCCG